TTGTTTCTATTGCGGTGTAAGTTCTTGCACCCGGGCTCATTTTCTAATATTTGCCGAATGGAATATTGCGATATTTTTGGCGCACGAGCCATTTTTCGGCCACTGCGACGCGGGTTTCAATTAAGTTGCTTCTTTACTTTTCGAACCATTTCTGCTGTTTCCTTCCGTCCACTTCTCTGACGTCGGGCTACGCTACTAGTAGCGATGGTACGATACACAAAAGATTTATCCACATTTAAATGCTGGAGTGCTCTAACGATAGCCACTTGTGGTTTTCCAGCCAAATATAAAGAAATCACACTATCACACTTGAATTCCATCACGAATAAATTTTTTTCTGGAAAATTAACACAAAAATGCTATTGTACGCTTGTAAATAATATAATGAGCTTTCATTGGAATAATTTTAACAGCTGTCGGATGAGTGGCCTAGAAATGACGGTAGTCTGAAGTTGGTGGCAGTTTTTTCATCTCACCCTGTATACCTATGTTATACCCACTACTAGTTCACACAAATTTTCGAGAAATTTCGTTAAAACCACATCAATATATTAATCAATGCAATTATTACCAACAACTATGACAGTTCAGAATCGATATTTGACACAATTTAGTGGCGATCGGATTGGTACATAAATGCGCTGGAAGTTTGCTTCGAATTCATAATGGACAAACACACAAAGTCGTAAAGATATGACGATTGGTGTATTATAGGTGCTTTTTTGACCATGATTCGTACCCTTTTTACATAGCTCCATTTTAAATGCACAATTTTTGGTATCATATATCGTGTACAAGTTATCCCGGTTTGGAAAAGATAGTTGTCGGAATAAATCCGCCTAAATGTTGCTAATAGTGTCGTGTTGTTTATCTATATATATATATATATAAATCAATTGTTGTTCGTTGGTAATGGAATCAGTTGAGAACTGCTGGACCGATTTGCATAATTTTTTGTACAAACGTTCGCCATACCCCGAGTTATGTTTTTAAAAAAAAAATTGACCACGCCTAATTTCACGCCCACTATTTCGCTTTATCTAAAATTCTTATATTTGCCAAAATTATGAAGATATCGGTTTGAAAATTATTACAAGACCTACTGTTGGCTTCCATCCAACACTAACTACTTACTTGGGGGCTGAGGAACTGACCACGCCTACTTTTTAATCTATAATACAAATCAATTGCTGTTTGTTTGTAATTGAATCAGTTGATAACGGCTGGACCGATTTGGATATATATTTTTTTTAAATGTTCGTCCTACCCCGAGTTAGGTTTTTATGTAAAGAAAGAATTACCACGCCTACTTTTGCGCACATTTTTTCGATTTCCCTAAAATCTTAATATTTGCCAAAATAATGAATATATCAGTTTCGCAGTTAGTATATGACGTACTATTGACCCTCCCTTTGTTTAGGGTCAGAGGAACTGACCCTGAAGTTTAACCAGTAAAGAAAGTCTTAAAGTCGGGCGGGGCCGACTTTATGATACCCTACACCACTTTGCTAATTTAGTAGAGCTCCACATAACAATTAAAAGTTTTTATGGAAGAATTCAATCATACACGCTATGATTATAATTATAATTAAAAGTTCAAAGGACTATATATGCCGAAGCATTTGTATCTTTTAAATTCGGAATTGTATTGCCCATTTGGTGCACAATTAATTAACCGATCTTCACCAAATTTGATATACTAGCTTCTAGACTCAATTCGGTCGTAAGTTCCAAATTTGGGCAAATATTAGAAGTTTGGTGTACAATTAATTTGAAATCGGATAAAGATATATATGGGAGCTATATCCAAATCTGAACCGATCTCGATAAAATTTAGCAAATGTATTTCTGAGATGTATTTGATATATTTCCCCAAATATTGTTGTTACAGTGTGCATATTACGGGGGCGGTGGACAAAAATAGCAAATCGGATGAACTATATATATGGGAGCTATAGCTATATCTGAACCGATCTTCACCAAATTTGGCAAGCTACCTTCTAGACTCAATTCGGTCGTATATACCAAATTCCATCCCATTTGGGCAAATATTAGACGTTTGGTGCATAATAAAAGGTAAATCGGACGAAGTTATATATGGGAGCTATATCCAAATCTGAACCGATCTCGATAAAATTTAGCAAATGTATTTCTGAGCTGTATCTGATATATTTCCCCAAATATTGTTGTTGCAGTGTGCATATTACGGCGGCGGTGGACAAAAATAACAAATCGGATGAACTATATATATGGGAGCTATAGCTATATCTGAACCGATTTCAATTAAATTTGGCATAAATATTTTCAGACCTAATTTGGGTGTATATGCGTATGGGTGTATAGACTCAATTCGGTCGTAAGTTCCAAATTTGGGCAAATATTAGAAGTTTGGTGTACAATTAATTTGAAATCGGATAAAGATATATATGGGAGCTATATCCAAATCTGAACCGATCTCGATAAAATTTAGCAAATGTATTTCTGAGATGTATTTGATATATTTCCCAAAAATATTGTTGTTACAGTGTGCATATTACGGGGGCGGTGGACAAAAATAACAAATCGGATGAACTATATATATGGGAGCTATAGCTATATCTTAACCGATCTTCACCAAATTTGGCAAACTATCTTCTAGACTCAATTCGGTCGTATATACCAAATTCCATCCCATTTGGGCAACTATTAGACGTTTGGTGCAGATTAAAAAAAGTAAATCGGACGAAGTTATATATGGGAGCTATATCCAAACCTGAACCGATCTCGATAAAATTTAGCAAATGTATTTCTGAGCTGTATCTGATATATTTCCCTAAATATTGTTGTTGCAGTGTGCATGTTACGGCGGCGGTGGACAAAAATAACAAATCGGATGAACTATATATATGGGAGCTATAGCTATATCTGAACCGATTTCAATTAAATTTGGCATAAATATTTTCAGACCTAATTTGGGTGTATATGCAAAATTCAATACAATTCGGGCTGATATTACACGTTTGGTGCACAATAAAAGGCAAATCGGACGAAGATATATATGGGAGCTATATCTAAATTTTTACCGATTATCTCCAATTTCAACAGGGTTCGTCCTTGGGCCAAACAAATGATTTGTGCAAAATTTCATCTGGATCGAGCAATAAATGCGACCTGTACTTTGTTTACAAAACTACATGGACAGACGGACGGACGGACAGACGGACGGACGGACATGCATAAATCGACTCAGAATGTGATTCTATGCAGATCATCAAAATGAACTATGGGTCTATCTCGTTTCCTTCTGCCTGTTACAAACAAATGCACAAAGACATAATACCCTGACCACCTTGTGGTGTAGGGTATAAAAAAATATAGTAATACATCTGTTGAGAACTGCTTGGCCGATTTGACTTACATTTTCGTTTGTTTGTAGTATCCATTACGAACTTCAAATACCAAATTTAAAACAATTCCGGTGAATAATATCGCTAAAATTATCAAAATACCGTTATATGGTGGCTATACGAAGACGTGGACCTGCACAGACAATTTTCTGTCATAGGCTTTAGTATCCATTACGAACTTCAAATACTAAATTTGAAACAATTCAGGTGAATAATGTCGCTAAAATCTTCAAAATGCCAAAGATAGGGAGGTACTATTATATGGAGGCACAGACAATTTTCTTTCATAGGCTGTAGCATCCGTTACGAAATTCTAATACCAATTTTCAAACAATTTCAGTGAATAATGTAGCTAGAATCATCAATATACCGAATATCGGGAGATGTCGTTATATGGGGGCTATACGAAGACGTGGACCTACATGGCTCATTTTCTCTCCTAGGCTGTGGTATCCATTACGAACTGCAAATACCAAATTTGAAACAATTCCGGAAAATAATGTCGCTAAAATCATCAAAATACCGAATATCGGGGGATACAGTTATATGGAGGCTACATGAAGAAGTGGATCTACATGGCCCATTTCCTGTCTGAGGCTGTAGTATGCATTACGAACTTCAAATACCAATTTTGAAACGATTCCGGTAAATAATGTCGCTAAAATCATCAAAATACCGAATATCGGGTGGTACCGTTATATGGGGGCTATACGAAGACGTGGACCTACATGGCTCATTTTCTCTCTTAGGCTGTGGTATCCATTACGAACTGCAAATACCAAATTTGAAACAATTCCGGTAAATAATGTCGCTAAAATCTTCAAAATACCGAATATCGGAGGGTACCGTTATATGGGGGCTATATGAAGCTCATGGCTCATTTTATATAATACCAAAAGTCCTGCAGACATAATACAGATTTGAGTAAATTTTTATCAACTTACTTCATTTCGTTCGGAAATTAGAGTGATTTCTACAGACGGACAGATGGATAGAGGAACAGACGGACGGACATTGATAAATCGACATAGAATTTTATGCTGTTCAAGAATATATATACTTTGTGGGGTCTAAAATGTATATTTCGAGGTGTTACAAACGGAATTACAAACTTAATATACCCTCCATACTATGGTGGAGGGTATAAAAAACTAAAAAATGCATATCATTACAACTTCCGTTTGATGTCGTATAGGAAAACATATACAAATCTACTTATTTTTGAAAAAAAAAAAACTTTTAAAATGTTGACATATCAATCTTCACAAATGTTTATACATCTTTCTGTATTCTTATATTATGGTTGTAAGCCAACGTTTATATCAAAGTTTAGGTCTTTTTCAAAGAAAATAGCTTAACTTTACTTCTAATATTAGGTTCTCAAACAATTTGCATTACACCCTAATACTACGGGCCAGCAACGCGGTCCGGATCAGCTAGTTCTATATAGTTTTTATAATAATGAAATCAGGGTGGTCTATAATGATATTTGTTAATTTTAAGTAGGAAACTAACATAATTTAGATAAAGTATAATTTTGTTTGTAAAATTTATAAAATCTATAATGTTTTACTCATTTTTCATTCACTTTCCGATTTTATTTTTAGCCGTAAAAAGAATCTTTACTGGATGACCAGAGCAACAACCACAAATAAATGCAATCAACGAATATTGTCTGAAATTAAAGTAACCAAAATGAACAAACTGGTACATGATTTATAGAATGAAAACGGCTAACTGTAACTTCGCTATTACCTTTACTATGTGGAAGATGACTGAATTTTGATGCTGCTAGCCTCCACCCGCGACCTATTGTTCGAATTGCAGACAACAATAGTAGCCACACGAATGGTGTTCCTGTCAAACCAAATCATAAACAAAAACGAATCGTTCTCCTTTCCTCCGTGCCTACTCTTTTGTTCTATGCAATTTCGAATAATAATTGCAAAACTGCGATATACAAAAGTCAAACAAATGAATAACGCAAAACTCAAAGACCCAGCAACAGAGAAGTCTAAAAGCCCGCCATCCAGCCAGCCACACCAAAACTAAAAGCAATAAACGTAGATAGCCAAACAAACGATATTTGTGAAGGAAGCCATGTGTGTAGCACAGGATACGTAGTTCACTATACCCAGTAGCAAAAAGAAAGGACGAAAAAACAGGTTGCGAGCAACTTGCATATTTTTATGAACATTTATATTTTTGAGCTGTGAACCGATAGCTGTGATACCAACGAACCACTATCAACACGAAACCGGAAACCAACAAAACGAAAATAAACACATGGACATTTTTTCCTATTCATTTTGACTGACCCAAGCGCTCAAATGTGTGGGTGTAGGTGTATCCAGTTGTATTCGTATTGCTGAAACAATAGCAATAAGTACAAGGGCACATACGTAAAGAAAAATTGTTTTTGATGTGACCAAACAAAACAAAGCTTGCATAAAACAGACGACATCATTTTCGCCTGAAAACGGATGAATGTGATTTACACGCTTCCTTGCAACCTCTGATCCCTTTAACAGTTCCAGAGACCGTTACCCACTTTGTGCGTAAATTTTGGACCCTACTCCAAAGCGACCAACACATGAACTTACAACACCCTTTGTGTATTTAGAAAACAATTTCATTGTAATTGTGTATGTAGAATTGTTTGTGTGTGTGCGTCGTTAAGGCCTATCTCCCGTAATTTTGGCACTCACCAAGGGGGTTTGTACAAGCAATAAATGTCTAGTTAAAACCTCTTGCTTCAATTCTTCGTGTGGCCACATGTATGGAGAACAATAAAAAGAACTGAGAGGCTGGGTGAGAATTAAATTGGACAAGGAGTAGAACGACAGGCAGAAGTTGGGAGCCTGGGCAGCCAAAAACTATTAATTAAAGGCAACTAAATCTGACTGAAAAACAAGCAAACATACGCAATTTTCGCACGCCATTAGAGTCGCAGCACCCAACAAGCACTTCTGTTTTATTAGCACGAGACTGGACCAGTGGCCTAAAACATCTCATTATACTCTGCGCAGCTTAGCACACACACACACCCAGGCACGGAGAAACGTCTAAACGACCATTCGACGACGAGCCATTCATCTGGGCAGTTAGATTCACATAATGACCACACCGACGGAAGTGAAATATACGAGTTTATCGCTGTCATCGTTAATCACATACTTTATGTCCAGCTTTGTACTTGTTAGGTGCCTGTTGGAGGACGTGTCTATAACGTCGGCAGCAAAAGCCTCAACACTGCCCTCGGCCGACGAAGACTTGAATTGGGATCATAGCGTCGATTTGAATGAGGATTTTCGTATTTTATGGAAAATCATTAATCAAGATATAACATTTGAAATTCAAGCACGTACCATGGGTTATGTGGGGTTCGGATTCTCGCCGGATGGAAATATTGCCGGCTCCGATATGGCTATCGGCTGGGTTAACCGAGGTCACACATATTTTCAGGTAAGATTTCATTTGCATTTTAGTCATTTATTTGACCGAAACTGTCTTGAACATTGTTTTTAGCGTATGGTTCATTATGCTTCCTTTTGTCGTATATACAACTAAATCGGAATGCCAGCATGTGGTTTCGGATGCGTACACGCGAAAGTGCGAAATTTAGGGTCATTTGTCTAAACTCCTACCCGAATTAAGAAAATAACATTTTTATGCTTTTTCTGAATCCGTTGATTGTCATGATTACTACCATAAAATGTTCAATCATTACCCAGTGGAGCAACATACCAAAATAAAAATCCTAAGTGTTATAAATAGCAGTTAACACCCCATTCCCCATTTGCTCTTACGGTCATTTTATATTTATGGCCGTTTAGTTGAATTTCTCATTCACACCCACCCAAGCATGGGTTGGTTAAAATTGAATTAATAAAACATTTTCTGTTAACAACATTTTTAGAATAAAATAAAAGTAAATACGATATATGTACAAAAGTGGATAACAATTTAATAATTTATAGAATATCGCATATTAAATAATTCACTATGAGTAGTTTTTCTTTCTCGTTTCTCATTAAAATTTTGGCCAGGGAATATAAGTAGTTGCCTCGATTCCTCCAGTTATGAAAAAATTGAGGTATTTCATTCCATTGTAATTATAAATATTTCCGCAAAGAGGTCTTCTACACCCTTAGAGGCTAAGATACGGGTAAAATTAATTGAAAAATGTGACCAAGACCCTGGAAATAGCCGTAATAATCGGATACCTTCATATAAGGGTTATACCAAAGCATGGTTCTATACTTAAATTATTTAAAAGAATGTGTTGTTCTTTCTAAATCTTCAAATTACCAACATTTGAAGAATTTGAAAAGGGGGGCTATATTTCACTGTAGACCGACCTGATACATATTTTGTAGAAATGATTCTTTATGTGACCCCTAGGACGGTATCAAATTAAAAACTCTATCATAACTTTTGCGGAGTATAGAGCAAAGTATTTGAGGCCCTTTGTGTATGGCTAAGCTATAAAAAAGGGACCCTAAAAAAGTTTGACTCGGGAATCCCTCTTTTGGGATTTTTATCTGAGGCGCAGTGTAATTCCTGACGATATCGCTTAGACCCCGTATAACGTTACCAGTGATTCAAATACTTTGTTACAAAGTTTAAGGGTTCGGAAGAATTTTCCGAGAATATGAATCCTTTTCTTACTAAACTTAATTTCGTTTCACTATTTTGTATAGTCCGCATATTAGAGTGCCTCTTTATATTCGGCATTTCACTGATTGCAATACCAATGAATTTTGCATTTCGAGTTCCCATTGGATAGATTATTTCCATATATAGTCAATTTTTTGCAGCTTTGGACATCAGAATTGTATAGTAATATAGTAATTTCAAAATTGACAACCTGGCAACATGACGTTAATTTAATTATCATAAATAAAGTTTTATAAAAGTTAGGGACCCCATAAAGAATGTAAAAGAGTAGAAATTTTTGTCGATTAAATTATGTCCGCGAGAGGCCACCAAATTTAATATGCGTCTTTCAAACTATGCACAGGCTGATTGATGTTAGAAGAGGTATATATTTGATCTCATTTAGATATAGCCTTGATATAATATTATTTCCCAATATTGGTCGACCGAATGTGCTCTAATTTGGCCTATTAGAGGTATTTTGATGGACTCAAAAGCCTTTTCGAGGTTATAAATCATTTGCCAAAAAATTACAACAAAAGTCCACTGTATGATTTATTTTCTATTCCCCAGTACCTATTTATATTCGTTATTTAATCGTATTTAACGAAATTTTCAATCCCCAATTTCAATCAGTATTATAAAGGTCATAGCAATATTTTCTAAATCAAAAGTTATTTTGAATTCGTAACTTTTAGAAGACCATATTGTAAGGTATTTAGTTTTTACCAGTGTAAAATCTATATAAATCTGTGTATGCGGCCGTTCGTTGCAATCGCAATAAAGGTGAAATATTTAGTTTAATCTTTGAACTTTTATACAATATTCCTAGGAAGTTCGAATATATCTATTTCGTTTAGGTTTAGTAATACCAGTAACCTTTCGCCCTTTTGCATGTTTTTGTTACAATTTCTACCAAATGAACTCTAATTTGACATTTAAAGTTTTAAGTATTGTGAAATCAATACCAGCAATAAATGTTTACTATTGGTTCCCTATTAGCCATAGCCTCAATTTAAAAGTATGTTAAGATTTTAAAAGTGTTGATGTTTTAAGAATTATTTTTTAATCAAAATTTAATATTTTGGTATGGCAACCATATAACGGCATGTATAAAAATATGCAAAATTTATCCATTTTTGCGGTTTTTCAATAAGAATGTTCAATTCCAAAAGGCATTCTGAAACATTTTTTTCAGATCCTCAATTTTTATACCCTACAACACTATGTGTTGGGGGTATTATAAGTTTGATTGGGCCAAAAATTATGTAACACCTCGAAATATTGGTTTCCCACATAGGAAAGTATATATGGATCTTCCTATCTCGCCGAGCTGAGTCGATCTAGCTATGTATGTCCGTCCGTGCGTCTGTCCGTCTGTCCATGTTAATTTGTAATCACTCTACAGGTCGCAATTATGGCCCGATCTTCACGAAATTTAAAATATAGGTGGGGTTAAGGTCAGAATAGAACCCTATTTTGTAGATGATCGCATAATACTTAGGGGTTGAAATGGACCAAAAACTGAAAAATTTCCTAATTTTGCAGTTGCTCTACAGGTCACAATAATGGACCAATCGAAGCGAAAGTTAGCATAGGGCTAGAACTTTGAGCTGGGCAGATGCCTTCCAATTTTGATGGTCATCGGGTAATAATTAATGCCGGCGAAATCACAAATAGACGAACAGGCCAATTCTGACCGTTACGTAGATGCCGATAGTAAATATATCGGATTTATATAGCGAAATATATACAATGTGTATAATCAAAGGAAGGGGATGTTAGTTAGAATGCTTATATCTCAAGAATTTTTTAAAAATTTTTACATATAGATTTAAAGAAGTATGTGTGATCAGTTCGTCTGACTCCAAACAGATACCTAAGGTTAAAGGGAGAGTCAAGATTACGTCGTATACTAACTTTGGAACAGATATCTTCAAGATTTTTGTAAATATTAGATTTTAGGTAAATCGAAAAAATGGCCCTAAAATTGGGCGTGGTCACTTTTTCTTTGCATAAAAAAAAAAAAATAGAAATATGGTTGGTCTAGCACCAATACTGTGGCGCCAAAACGAACTTATATTACAGTGACAGACTGGCGTAGAATATAATTTAAATTCTGTTGTCATAATTGCTATCTGAAGCGTGGACATATACAGACAATGTTCTGTTATCGGAGGTAGAACCCGTTGCAAAATCTCAATACCCAATTCTGAACAATTACGTGCATAAAATTGTCTAAAATCTTAAAAATAACGAAGTTCGGGAGGTACTGTTATATCGGGACTATACGAGAGCTTGGACCGGCCTGGCCCATTTAACGTAACTTAACCTTATTATTGATAAAATAAACATGTGTGTAACATTTTAGCCTTATATCTTGGAATCGACTTAGCATTTTACACTGATCCAAAATATATATATTCTTCATTGGGTCTAACATGAGTATTTCGAGGAGTTAATGACATGTTAATGGGGTAGGACAAGGTGTTCTTCACTTTGCGCCTTAATAACTGAAATAGATTGAAATCTGAAGAAGCTATATAATAAACGATCGATATAAAAATACGGAATCCGTTCCGAATTTGTTACACGCCTGTATATTAAGAATTTTTGTGGAGTATATTATATCAACTGTTGACCGTTTTTATACCCTCCACCATACATAGTATGGAGGGTATATTAAGTTCGTCATTCCGTTTGTAACTCATCGAAATAATCATTTTAGACCCAACAAAGTATATATATATATATATATATATATATATATATATATATATTCTTGATCAGCATAACATTCTAATATGATTTAGCCCTGTCCGTCCGTCTGTCCGTCTGTTGGCTAAACGAATTAAGATGGGAAGCTAAAATTTTGCCAAGATCTCTCTTTTGTCTGAAGGCAGGTCTAGTTCGAAGACCGGCTATATCGGTCCACGATATCGTATAGCCCCCATATAACGGTACCCCGATATCTGGTATCTTCATGATTTTATCTTGATGATTTTTTCAATGGAATTGAATGAAAACCCACACAATCAGTTCCCTAAGAGCACTTTATCTCTTGGCAGAGAATTATCTATAAAGGTCCACGATATCGTATAGCCCCCATATAATGGTACCCCCCGATATTCGGAATTTTGATGATTTTAGCCACATTTTCTAATGAAATTGTATAAAAGTCCACACAAGGAGTTCTTTGTGGGTACTTTATCCCTAGTCTGAGAATTATCTATATAGGTCCACGATATCGTATAGCCCCCATAAAACGGTACCCCCCGATATTCTGTATGTTGATGATTTTAGCCACATTTTCTATTAGAATAGTCTGAAAATCCACACGAGGAGTTCTTTGTGGGCACTTTACCCCTTGAAAGAGAATTGTCTATATAGGTCTACGATATCGTATATCCCCCATATAACGGTACCCCCCGATATTCGGTATTTCAATGATTTTAATCGCATTTTTCGACGGAATTGTCTAAAATTCTACACAAGGGGTTCCTCGTGAGCACTTTACCCCCTGAAAGGGAATTGTCTATATAGGTCCAAAATATCGTATAAACCCCATATAACGGTATCCCCCGATATTCGAGATTTTGATGATTTTAGCCACATTTTCCAATGGAATTATCTGAAAATGCGCACAATGAATTTCTTGTGAGTACTTTATTCATTGAAAGAGAATTATCTATATAGGTCCACGATATCATATTGTCAAAATAAACATGTGTGTAAAATACCCCCCTATATTCGGTATTTTGATTATTTTAGCCACATTTTTCAACGCAATTGTCTGAAATACTACA